AGACAGCTGGCAAACATTTTTTCCCCACAGTGGTGCCAGACAGCTGGCAAACATTTTTTCCCACAGTGTTTTTCCCACAGAAACATTTTTTCTGCTGGTGGTTTCTCTTGCTGTAGAAAAAACTTTTTAGTAAGATGAGATCCCAGTTTTTGATTCTTTGTGATGGTTCCTCTGCAATTGAGGTTTTACTCATAAAGTCTTTGCCTCTACCGATGTTTTTAATGTTTCTGTTTTAATATTTAGGTCTTTAATCCATTTCGAATTTAGTTTAGTGCATGGTGAAAGATACAGGTAATCTTTGATATGTACAAAGTTGAGTTTTCCAGCACTGTTTATTATAAAGATCTGTCTTCCAGTGAAAAAGTTTGATACGTTTTTCAAAGATTAGGTGCCTGAGAGTGTCTGAAGTTGTTTCTCCATCTTCCAATCTGTTCCACTGATCTTTGGGTCTGTCCCACCCCCACCCCTAGGTACCATGCTGTTTTTATCACAGTAGCTTTACAGTATAATTTCATGTCAGGAGTTGTGTCTTGTCTTTGTTGCCCAGAATTATCTTTGTTATTCTAGCTCTCTTGTGGTTCCGGGTGAATTTTTTGGTTACTTTTCTCTAATTCTTGAGATATGCTACTGGAGTTTTGATTGAAGTTGCATTAAATGTGTATAACAGTTTTGGGAGTATGGCCGTTTTCACTAGGTTGGCTCTTCCTACCCAAGAACAAGGGATATTTTTCCATTTTCTGACATCCTCTTCAAGCTCCTCTTCAGAGTACTGTGGTTTTTCAACATAGAAGTCTTTTATATCCTTTGTTAGGTTACTTCGTAGGTATTTTATTTTTTTGGAGTATCATGTCATCTGCAAATAATGATAATTTAACTACTTTCCTATCATTTCACCTTTTCTTTCTTTTTTGTGTCTGTCGCTCTGGCTGACATTCCCAGCACTGTGTTGAGTGAGGGCCCCTGACTGGGGGATGAGGCCGACGAGGCTGGAAGAGAGGGCTGAGGAGCTGGCCCTGCGCTCTGCCTGACTGCGCTCCGTCTCTCTGGTGCTGGCATCTGTCCATAAGTGTCCCACCTGAGGAGCAAAGGCCAGCGTGGGACTTACTCCATTTCCTGGACCCCGTGCTTGCTTTGTGTCCTGCTAATGCCATTTTTATGTCCTTGTCCCTGTTTTACTTTCTGTGGTTTACTCTTGCTCTTTCTGGCAGGCAACACAGACAGCCCCTCCGCCCCCTCCGCCGCCGCCACCACCACCGCCTGCCCCAGAGCAGCAGACCGCGCCGCCCCCAGGGTCCCCTTCCGGAGGCACAGGGAGCCCTGGAGGCCTGGGTCCCGAAAGCCTGCCGCCGGAGTTCTTCACCTCCGTGGTGCAGGGCGTGCTGAGCTCCCTCCTGGGCTCCCTGGGCGCGCGGGCCGGCAGCAGTGAGAGCATCGCTGCCTTCATCCAGCGCCTCAGTGGCTCCAGCAACATCTTCGAGCCTGGAGCTGACGGAGCCCTTGGTAAGCAAAAGGAGCGTGCTGGGGGCAGCCAGGGAGCCTCTGCTCGGGCTGTGGGCGCGGGGGGATGAGGCCAATGGACTGGGGTACGGGTGGGCAGGCCAGGTGGAGAAGGCGGTTACTAACGTCTGTCCCCATCACCAGGGTTCTTTGGGGCCCTGCTCTCTCTCCTGTGTCAGAATTTCTCCATGGTGGATGTGGTGATGCTGCTCCACGGGCACTTCCAGCCGCTGCAGCGGCTCCAGCCCCAGCTTCGGTCCTTCTTTCACCAGCACTACCTGGGTGGCCAGGAGCCCACCCCTGGTAACATCCGGGTACGCGAAGGCCTGGGGCCCAGAGCTCTGCTATCCCACCTGCTGTCCTACAGACGGCCCCCCGAGTCCTGGAGTCCCTGGGGGAGAAGGGGAGCCTGGAGGGCTGAGGCTTGGAAATAGACCAGTGATCTTTCCCCGCAGATGGCAACCCACACCCTGATTGCCGGGCTGGAAGAGTACGTGCGGGAGAGCTTTGTGAGTACAACTCCGGTCCCCGCTGCTGGGCTGAGCAGGGCGGCTTCGTTCCCCGGCAGCTCATCTTCCTCTGTCTCTCACTTCTCTGGGCTCCTGACTCGGCGATCTTCGTTGTCTTGTCTAGTCTTTGGTACAGGTTCAGCCAGGTGTAGATATCATCCGAACAAACCTCGAATTTCTCCAGGAACAGTTTAACAGCATCGCTGCGCACGTGCTGCACTGTACAGGTCAGGGGCGCCGGCAGGGCATGTGGGCAGGGGGTGTGGGTGCTGCTGGGCGCCAGCATTCCCCCTTTGTCTCCCACAGACAGTGGGTTTGGAGCCCGCTTGTTGGAGTTGTGCAACCAGGGCTTGTTTGAATGCCTGGCCCTGAACCTGCACTGCTTGGGGGGACAGCAGATGGAGCTGGCGGCTGTCATCAACGGCCGAATTGTAAGCGCTGCCCCCGCCCAGGTCCTTACCCTGTGTCCTTCCGTCTCCTGCGGGTTTCATTCCCTTTTAAACCCGACCTGTTGTGCGGGAGCTGGTAGAGCGCAAAAGCTGCTCGAGAGTTTGATTGCAAGTCTGCTTCCCGCCCCCAGCGCCGTATGTCTCGTGGGGTGAACCCCTCCTTGGTGAGCTGGCTGACCACCATGATGGGACTACGGCTTCAGGTGGTCCTGGAGCACATGCCTGTGGGGCCTGATGCCATCCTCAGATACGTCCGCCGGGTTGGTGACCCTCCCCAGGTAATGGACCTCTGATGGCCCGGGGGAGGGCCTTGCAGGGAGCTGAAGAGATCCAAGAGGGCTTCTGTTTGGTCCTTTATCCAATTTCACAGCCACTGTCCGAGGAGCCCATGGAGGTGCAGGGAGCAGAGCGCACAGCCCCTGAGCCTCAGGTACCGAGGGCCAGATAAGGTGGCGAGCAGGGCTGGGGAAGGAGGCCCGGAGGCTGGGCAGTCTGGAATCTGAGTCCTCTCACTGCCTGTGGCCTGCAGCGGGAGAACGCGTCCCCAGCCCCCGGAACCACAGCGGAAGAGGCCATGTCCAGAGGGCCACCCCCTGCTCCAGAGGGGGGTTCCCGTGATGACCAGGATGCAGCACCCGCGGAGACAGAGCCTTGGGCGGCTGCAGTTCCCCCAGTATGTGGCAGGCAGTGGGCCGGGGAGCCAGGGGTCTGCAGGCTGTGGGAATTACTTTGTGATCTTTTCCTCTTCAGGAATGGGTCCCTATTATCCAGCAGGACATTCAGAGCCAGCGGAAGGTGAAACCGCAGCCGCCCCTGAGTGACGCCTACCTCAGCGGTATGCCTGCCAAGAGACGCAAGGTGCGTTGGCCGCGGCCCGCAGGAGCCGTGCCTGCCCAGCGCCGGTGCGCTGTGGGTCAGCTGCAGCGGGGGAGCTCTGCCTAGGGATTCCCTCGCTGAGGACGCCTCTTGGGGACCTGGACTTGCACTTGGCCTTACTGTGTGCTGTAGTCCTGTCCTGGTCCCTCACCAGCTGCCTAATCCCAAGTGGTGAGGGCCCGCTCGAAGGTGGGCTCCTCCTGTGGGTTATGGGCCCTGCCCACCGCGGCGCAGCCCAGCCCAGCCCAGCCCACTTGGTCCTCCTTGTCCGGAAGAGCAAGACGCTGGAGCCGGTTAGGAGGCCGTTTGTGCTGGGTCCTTTCCACTGGGGTAGACTCAGGGGTTGACTGGTGGAAAAGGGTGAGCTGGGTGGTGGCACTGGATCTGACGTCTATCCTCTTTTCCCTCCCAAACCCTTGTCCCCCAGACGATGCAGGGTGAGGGCCCCCAGCTGCTTCTCTCAGAGGCCGTGAGCCGGGCAGCTAAGGCAGCCGGAGCTCGGCCCCTGACGAGCCCCGAGAGCCTGAGCCGGGACCTGGAGGCACCAGAGGTTCAGGAGAGCTACAGGCAGCAGGTGCTGCCCCCACCTGGAAGCAGAGTAGGGATGGTCCCGCGGGAGGGGTTGGGCTAGGGTCCCTCCCGTCCTCGGAGGGAGGCGCAGTGGGCTGTTGCTCAGTGGCCTCACTGTCCCTGGTGGGGAAGCGCTGGCTCCCAAGGGATGGGCTCACGCTGACTGGTGCCCCCCACCTGCTTGCCTCCTCTAGCTCCGGTCTGACATCCAGAAACGGCTGCAGGAAGACCCCAACTACAGCCCCCAGCGCTTCCCCAATGCCCACCGGGCCTTTGCGGAAGACCCCTAGTGCCGTGGCCCTTCCTCACGGGGACCGCCCCCACTTCACAGTATTTAAGAAATAAAAGTCGGATTTTTCTGGCTCCTTTTGGCTCCAGCTTGTCTTAGTCTTGAGCCCTTGCTTGTGGGGGAACTTGTTTTAAAATTCTCCCTCCAGTGAGCCAGCCAGAGCCAGCAGGATAAGACCACTCAGTGTCGCCCAGTGCAAGGCATAGCGCAAGCCTGTTTTCCTGTGGCTGATTTCCACGCAGCTCCGATAGAGGGTTCTTCCCGAGTGCTAGGAAACACCACCCAGCTGACAGCTGTAAACCAGCTATCTTGGCAGCACACACTTACATTGGTTCACTCAGGCCACAAAGCCCCGGGGAATGCTGGGGCTACAGCTAGGAGGCAGTGACGAGCCCCAGGGACGTGCTCAGACCTTGAGGACAGCTGCTAACCACCAAAACATGACCTGACACTGCCTCGTGTCTGCTGTTCCTTCACCCCCTGAACACGCACAGTGTCAGAAGGCCACGCACGCCCTGCCGTGCTGCAGGGCCTTCTGTAGTGAAGGTCTGTGTAGCCCGTTCAGCCCAGGTCGCAGCCTAAAGCCCCAGATGGCTTTTTTTTTTCTTGCTGGGACAGGGTCTAGTGCTGGCTTTGGGCTCACTTTGTAACCTAGGCTGGTCTCGAACTTACAATGATCCTCCTGTACTAGGCTTACAGGAGCATGCCACACACCTGGCCAAGGTTTGAGGTGAGGAAGTTCATGTCGAGGAGCAGGCGGTCTCATTCTCATTGAAACTGCGTTCCAACACATTACACTGATGGTGGAAATGTTTTTTTAAATTATTTTATTACTCTTTTTTTAACAAACGGCCCCAGGGATAGGGGACAGGAAGGGGGGGAGGGGAAGCGAGGCTCCAGCCTCACAAGCCCTCCCCGCCCACCCCTCTCCCCCTTATATATTTATAGTCTATATACAAGCCCCGGGGGCGGGGGCAGGCCGAGGAGCTCCCTCAGCGGGGTGGGGGCAACCCAGGCTCCTGGTCCCCTCGGGACCCAGGCTCCTCGGCCCTGCGGGAAGGGCCCTCGCGAGGTGGCGGGCCCGTGCGCTCCCAAGGCTTCGGCATCCAGCACAGGGCATCTGGTGGGGAAGCCTGCAGGGCGGGCACGTGTGCGGGAGGTCAGAGGTGGGAAGCGGCTCCGACTCGGTGGGGCCCTCGGGGCGTCCCCTCACCTGCTGATAGAGGTCGATGCGCTGGGTGCGGAAGACACCGCTGTAGGTGGAAGGTGGGGCCTTGAGGCGCGAGCTGAGGCTAGGGAAGGCCCTGGGGAAGAGAGCTGCTTAGGGCCGCTGAGGCCGGCCAGCTGCTGAGGGGCGGCGCAGCCTGGGCTCCAGGCAGCTCACCTTGCAGCAGCTGGAGTTCGAGAAGACCCGGACCCCCCGGATCCGAGGCCGCTGCCCAGCTTCCTGTAGTCCTGGAACGGCTTTAGTTCCACCGGGTGCAGCTGAAGGAAGACAGGCTCTGAGCACCCCCCGCACTCATGGAGCCCGGCACCCCTGCCCGTGGCGCCCCAGTCCGCCCAGGCTCACGCTCACCCTCACCTCGGCACGTCCCAAGCTGGGGGGGAAGGGCCTGGCAGGTGAAGGCAGCACCCGAGCAGCGGGGGTGGGCGGGGGCCGCACGGCGAGGCTGGGTGGCTGCAGAGCGGGGCCCACGGGCAACAGCGAGAGTGGGGGCGGCGCGGGCGGTGGCGCGGGCGGCAGGGAGCCGAAGTTCACCACAGGCAGCTGCGAGTCCACCATGGGCAGCAGCATCTGCGAGGGGATGGAGAGCGGCGCTGGGGCGGGAGGGGGCGCCAGAGAGCTGGAAACAGGGACAGGAGGGCACAGGTACCTGCTGGGCAGGGGGCCCTGGAGGAAGGAAGCCGCTCTGTCCACCAGGCTGCAATGGAGCAGAGTAAAAATCCGAGGGGGACGGCAGGTCCTGGCGCACCTGTTGGGGGACGGAGCAAATAGGCCACCTCCCCTGGAGGCAGGCCCACCCCAGCAGGCCGGCGCTCACCTGCAGCAGGGGCGGGTCCGGCAGGGGGCTGGGGCAGAAGGCGGGCGAGTAGAGGAAGGAAGGCGGCGGGTAGAGGACGCCGGCCGGCAACTTCCCCAGCTCCGTGGCCTGCAGCGCTGAGAACTCCAGGAACTGGCCCTTGAGTGCCACCCCGGAGAGCAGCGCGGAGGGTGGGGCCAGGCCTGGGGGCAGGTAGAGGGGCTGGGACCTAGGGGACATGGGGCACAGGGCTCAGCGGCTGGCCTTCGTCCTGGCTCGCTCGCTCGCGGTCTGCGCCTCCCCTCCCGGGCGGGCCGGGGTCTCACCTGTAGGGGTGCAGCGAGGGCGTGCCGGGGCGGAAGCTCACGTTGCCAGGGTGTACCTGGGAGTCCGCGGCTCCCCCGGACACCTGCAGAGGGATGGGAAGAGCTCCGGGCTCCGCTCCGGAACTCGCCACCCACCCCAACTGGGACGAGGGGACGTGGCCGGGCCGCACGGCTCGGGCAGCTGGGGACGGCGAGCGGGGCCCACCTGAGGGCCGGGTGGCCCGGGGCTGCCATACAAGACCTCGGGGTGCAGGCGCTGGCCCGAGGCGCTGGGCTCTGGGCCCCCGGACGCCAAGCTCCTGGCCTGTGGCTCGGCAGAGGCGGGCCCGCCAGGGCGCAGCTCCCAGTCCCGAGGCGCCGGCGGCGGCCCGGCCTGTGGGAGAGGGCTGCTCCAGACAGGGTCTGCTGGGCCCCTGCCTGGGGGCCAGGCACACCTCCGGCCCGCGCCTACCTCGGGGATGGGGATGGGGACAGTGACGGCCGCCGCCAGCGCCTTCTCGGCTTTCCCGCCGTCTCCCACCGACAGGCGCAGGTCTGAGTCCTGTGACGCCAGGCAGGGCTAAGGCCACCTCAATGCGCCACCACAGCCCCTCCACCCCCCCCCACCCGGGCCTGGGCGCACTGACCTTGTCCCCTGGGCCCAGCGCAACTGGAGGACCCGGGCGATGCGATGGCCGCACGGAGCCCGTCTCCGGGCCCCTCTCTGCTCGCTGCGACCGCTCTGTGCCTATGGGGTCGGGCAGCAGAGGCTGCTCCCGGGGCGGCTCCTGAGTTGGGGAGTAGCACAGTGGACGGGAAGAGTTCCTGGGTCAGGGAGCCCAGAACACAACGGCCCAGGACATCAGCACAGTCGCCCCGGGACAGCCCCTGCATCTCACCTTCCGATCCGCATCGCGAGGGGTGGCTGCTTGTCTCCTAGGCGGCTCTGGGGGTTCAGTGCCGGGCGGCCCCTCACCAGGCACCGCACTCAGGGGTGAGGGGCCTCCGGGCCGCTTGGGGGGTCCCTCTGCTGGCCCCTTGAGTCCTCCATCAGGGGAGCTTCTCTGGCTGCAGGGACCTGATGACACCTGGGAATCCCCACTCAGGTCCACCCCACTGTCAGACTGACTCATCTGAGGAGAAAGAGATCGGGTTAGGCTGGGGTACAGCACGCCCCAGTGTCATGGCCACGTGCATGCACAGGCAGACAAGAGAGCACAGCCCCAACCCTGCCCCTCACCTCCGTGCTGGCCACGTCCTCGAATGGACCCAGAGGCTCCATCCAGGGCTCCACTGAGCCAGGTCGGTAACTCTTCCGGCTGGTGGCTGGAAGCCCCGACAGGACAGGAAAGGACGCTGAAACCCGGCCCTTGCAGCCTCTGGGGTCCCCCACTCTGCCTCCTCGGGCACTCACCAGTGTGTAACCGGTCCCAGAGGTGGGGCGTCAGGGCCTCAGTGCTAGTGTCTCTTGAGTCCCCCTGAGAGCCAGGGGCCTCCGACTTGGAGCCCAAGAACGCAGTGCTGTGAGCAGCAGGCAGAGGCTCCTAAAGGTGAGGGAGTGGGGATGAAAAGGGGAGCCAGGGTGCAGCATGACCTCAGGCCACGAGGGAGCGCGCGCCGGGTGGGCAGCCCCAGCCCTCACCTCCTGTGTCGGCTCCCGCTCCCGCCGCTTGAGGGAAAAGATGTTCGTCCCAGCACAGTCCTGGGCAGCCCCGCTGGCCTCCCTCACCACGGGCCCTGGCGCTGGCTCTTCAAGGCGGGGCTCTGGGAGGAAGAGCGTGATCAGTTGCCCCTTTCCTGGGACTGCAGCCCCTCTGCCCTGCAGTGTGAGCCCAAGGCAGAACCCTGCCACCCTGGCTCACCTGGACCGGAGCCACCAACACTGGGCCTTGGGGGCTCGAATCGGGTTGGGGGGCGGGGGACCGAGCCTGGTGGAGCCTGAGGTGGCCCAGACTTGGGCCTTGCATGGCCCCCAGGGGCCGTCACACTCCCCTGGCGGGTGCTCAGCTGGGCCAGAGCCTGCTGGATGCCAGCAGGGTTGCTGTGGATAACCTGGTCCAGGCGGAAGACAGCAGAGCTGCTGGGTGGTGGGGCAGGCAGGGGCAGCCCTGGGGGGCGCTCCTCTGGAGGGCGGCTGTGGGGCACAGGACGGTGTCGGTGCGAGCGGACACAAGGCTGTCCCACTCTTCCGAGCTGCCCCGCATCGCTTCCCTCCCCTCCCTTCACGAGTCCCCAGAGCCAATCAGGGAGCCCGCGCCAACCTCGGGTCCTACCCACCTCCGGTTCTTGGGCGAAGGCCAGCTCCTCTTGTCCCCTCTGCCTGGCCCTGTCCTTCCCCCAGGACCACCGCCGCCGCCTCCTCCGCCAGCCTTGCCCCCGGGGCCTGGGCGCCGGTTCTGCCGATCCATGCCTGGCCTCTGACTGGAGAAGCTGCGCTTGCTCAGGTCCTTGGCTCGCTGGCTGAGGTCTCCACGGGCTGTGGTGGCCAGGCCACCCCCAGGGGTACCTGCACCACCCGTGGGGGGCCCTAGAGCCTTTGGGGTCAGAAGTGTAGGCGGAGGCGCCTCCTTGTCACCCCGGCGCTCGCTAGCAAAGTCGCTGCTCTCCGACGCGGTCTCCCACTCCTCGTTGGCTTGGTCAGAGTTCTGGTTGGACAGATCTGGGGACTTGGCGGCTGCCCGGCGGGGTGGTGGTGGCACCGGGACAGTGGCCGAGGGTTCCTCGGACCCAGGCATGGGTGGTGGCAGAGATGGGACAGGGGTCTTGCCCTCAGGTGCCCGGGCTGCGCTCTCGCGCTCCTGCTTCAACCTGCGGAAGCGAGGTGGCTTGTCCTGCTGCTGTGCCCGGCCGTGCCGCCGCCGGCGAGGCCGCTCCCCATCCTCCAGGCCACCGGCTCCGCGTGCCCCAGGCGACAGTGGCCCTGAGAGTAGCTTCTCCTTTCCGGGCTCCTTACTCGGGGGCAAGGGGCCTGTGGGCAGCTTCTTTGGGACCAGCGACTTGCCTGGAGGACTCCAGCCTGGGCACACGGCAGGTGGCCGCCCTCCACCCCGGCCCCGGCGGGATGGCACCCCTCTGGGGGTGAAGACCCGGCCGCCTCGGGCCGCAGGGAAGCGGGCCGGGGCCGGTGAAGGGGGCACGCCCAGCACAGGGCCAAGGGGCAGTGCTGGGGCCGTTGCACCCTCCCTGGGGGGCGCCTCCTTGTCGGAGGGCGCCAGGTCGCTCTCATGGGTCTCACTGCCCGTCTCCGAGCCCCGCTGCCGCCGCCGCTTGGGGATCTCCTCGTACTCGGAGCCCTCACTTCGGGTCTCACTGGTAGTGCGGCCGCGGGGGGCAGAGGGGTGGCTCGGGGGCCCTGCCCCGCCTCCGCGCCCATCATCCCCGCGGAACTCTCGGTAGCTGCGGAACTCTCGGCTGCGGGCCCCCCGCCCCCGGCCCCCGTAGGTCCCCCGGAAGCCCCTTCCTCGGGCGAAGTACTCCCCCCGGCCGCGGCCCCGGCAGGAGGGAGGCCCCACTCTCTCGTAGGAGTAGTCCCTGCGGAGCCGTGGCGCAGGGGACAGGTGCCCTCCGGGTGGAGTCTCCTTGGGCCCCATCTTCCCCTTGGTCGTCTTGAGCAGCTCTGGCTTCGGGCCCTTGGGGGGCTCATCTCCCTCCGGCGGCTTAGCGGGCAGCTCTTCAACTTTCGTGGCCAGTGGCGGCGGCTTCTTGATGGGCCCAGCCCGGCGGGGAGGGGCGCCCAGCTCCTCTGGGGGGATCCCGCGGCGACTGCTGCCCGGCCGAGGGCCCCAGCGCGTCTCAGTGCGGCTCTCTCTGCGCACCGGTGGGGGGCCCTGGGCCCCCACAGCCCGGGTGGGCTTGCGGCCCGCTTCTGGCCCCACTGGAGGCTGCAGGGGCACAGTCTCCTCCTTGGGGGGCTCCTTCTTAGGCGGCGGGGCTTGTATCTTGGCAACCTCTTCACTGCCCGCAGGCCAGGGGAGTGGCCGGGGCACCGGGGGAGTGGGCTCCTCCAGAGGGAATCGGGACAGCGGAGGCCCGGGGGCTCCGTTCTCCGGAAAGCCAGGGTAACCAGCCAGGTAGGGCGGTGGGGGAGGCACAGGAGGTGTCTCGCTCCTGAAGACAGAGACAAATAGAATGTGGGTGAGCGGCCCGGATGACAGGGCCAGGTGGCAGCCTCGCCACCGCCCCGCCACCCGGGGACCCCGCCGCCGGCCTCACCGCAGCCCCTTGTCATCTTCGTCCGCCGCCTGGCGCAGTGGCGAGGTGAGCGGGCGCGGGTCTGCAGAGGGGTTGGCGAACACGTCCCCCACCCACGCCAACTTTGGATCCATGGGGGGCGTTCCCCGTTCCCGCAGGAGAGGTGGTGCGTGGCGCTCAAACGGCTCTGAGCTGGAGCCCCCACTATCTGAGCGCTCTCGGGGAACCAGGCCTGAGGAGAACAGCGAGGACAGTCCTTCCTGGGCCCGGTGTGCAGCCCGACAGCAGTACTCTTTCCAGTCTGGGGCTCCCCCAGGCCTTGGTCCCCAGAGGTCTCGCCCTCATCTGCTCTTATGGAACAGGTCACCCACTTGGCTCTCCCAGGATGAGGGAGGGAGCCCGAGCCCACTGAGGGACACCGTATACTTTCTCACCAAGTCCAGCCTCAAGCACAACTCAAGACCCTCGCCTTCAGGGCCACGGCACAGCCACTCACCAGAGGGGTGCACACCAGGTGGGTAGAAGTCCAGAGGCGGCCGGCCCTGGAGCAGCCGGGGGTCCACGTAAGGCGGAATCATCATCCAGCGGGGGTCAAAGTTCATCGGTGTCATGGGTGGGGGCCGGCCCAGAGCCCCGGGGTACAGGGCCTTGGGAGGGGGTGGCGCAGCCCCCAGGGTCACAGGCTGTGGTGGCGACGGCGGCACTGGAGCAGGCGGCGTGGAGCCCTGCTGGTGCTGTTGCCACTGCTGCTGCTGCTGCTTCAGGAGCTGCTCCTGCACAGGCCCGGAGAGCTTGAGCAGCTCAAGCCCAGCTGCCCTTGCACATCCTGCCTGCACTGGGTGGGAGTCCCGAAGCAGAGGAGACGGTCTAGGGACAGGGTGCAGCAGGGGTGAGGAAATCACACCACTCTCACCTGCTGCTGCCGCTGGAAGCGAGGTGGCAGTGACTTCTGGTACTTGGGATAGCCCAAGCCCTGGCTGGGGGGTGGCCGAGCAGCGCCCACTCCATCACTCTTGGGTTCCACTTTTGGGATCGGGGGTGTGGAAGGCGGAGGAACCTCTTCGGGAGATTCGGGCCCTTCTTTTGAAGGCAGCTGGGGTTCCACTGCATTCAGAAGCAATAACCCAGTCTACCAAAACAGCCTGGAGCACCCCAGACTCAGCCCTCTCCTGAAACTCATTCTCAGAGACTGGCGCCAGCTGCTCCTGCTGTACTAACCTCCCCTAAGAGCCACATTCACACCCCACAACCTTGAGAGCGCACTGCAGGTGCTGGCACCATGTCACCAGCAAACTCCCAAAGCAAAACCTTTTTTTTTTGGGGGGGGGGCGTCTTTTTCGTTTTTATTGGTACCAGGGATCGAACTCACGACTGCCTGCTTGCAAGGCAGGCGCTTATGCCGCTGAGCTAAATCCCCAGCCCTAGGCAAAACCTTCTTATTCTTGGTCCACTCTCAGGCTGCAGAAGTGTCTCCCCCAACGCAAGACACTAGAGATGGAACCCAGAGCCGTCACAAGCAGCTATCACCTCTGCCCCTTTTATTTTTCAGACAGGGTCTTGCTAAATTGCCCAGGCTGGGCTTGAACTAGTGATTCCCCCGCCTCAGCCTCTCAGAATGCTGGGATTACAGGCCTGCGCCACCACAGACTACTTAGTAGTTTCAGAACCTTGCCTCTCTCTCTCAGAACCCATATAACATGATGGGATCCTTTTCTCTACCCCCAAGAGTCCACCAAGAGTCTACCAAGCTCAAGTAAGTGCCTTCAGCCAGGCGTGGTGGGCCACGCCTGTAGTCCCAGCACTCGGGAGGCTGAGGCAGGAGCCTCATCATAATTTGAGGCCATCCTGGGCTATAAAATGAGTCCAGGCCAACTTGAACTACATAGGGAGACCCTGTCTCAAACAAACAAAACACACAGTCCCTTCGGCTGCATTTATCCTCACCCTTGCCACCCTGCACCTGCACACCCCGCAGAACTCTGACAGCGAGCAGTGCTATCCTCCCCTACCTGGGCTGGCTTCAAAGCTGCCACTGCTGGTGCTACTGGCAGTGCCACCACCACTTGCCAGAGCAGAAGAAGGAGCCGCCCCTGGACTGGGAGTGGACTGGACATGGGGCGCCTGTGCTGGCTCCTCAAGTTCTTTCTCTGGGGCTGCAGCTGGTACTGGGGCTGGTGCAGGGAGCTCCTTGGGGACCGCAGGTAGCACAGGTGGGACAGTAGCAGCAGCAGCAGCAGCAACAGCAGCAGGGGGGGCCACTGGCTCTGCTTTGAGTCGCTTGTCGGGGGCCCCAAACTTCTCATCCAAACGCTTGAGCTTCTCAGCACAGGCCGCCCGGCGCTCCTCCTGCATGCGCCGCTCCTCCTCCTCGCGTCGTCGCCGCGCGCGCTCCACAGCCAGGGAGATCTCCGAGGAGGATTGTTTCCGCCGCTGGCGCCAGGCCTCATCCTCGTCCTCGGGGGCAGGAGGCTTGCAGGGCGGACCCCCGCGATCCTGTCAAGGGCAGACCCGGCGGGCCAGGCGCATGAGTCCCTGTGCCTCCTACCACTCATGCACAGCGTGACCTGTCTCAAGCTATGGGCCACAGGGACAGGACCCAGAGATGACGGTCTCTGGGTGGAGGCATAGTCATCCCCCTCATCTATTTCTCCATTCTCTCTCCCCTCTGGGACCCCAGGTCTTCTTATTCTTCATCAGCACCCAGATTTTTCTCCCATGCTCCCCAAAATACCAAGGTCATTCCCAAGTGTTCCACATATGTGAGCAGCCCGCCCTGGACATACCGGCCCTCCAGCTTCCTCCCCCGACTGGGCCCTGCTCCCCCTCGAGGACACTCACTGGGTAGTCTCCAGGTGGGCCCCAGTTCCCGGCGGGGCCCCGGTGCGGCGGCGGTGGCGGAGGCGGCGGGGGAGGCTTGGGCGCAGGAGGCCCCGGGTCGGCGTCTGGCGACCGCGAAGCCTCAGCCCAGGCCACCTTGGGAGGCGGCGGCGGCTCGCTGCCCGGGGAAGCACCCTTCCTGCCATCGGCCTCAGGGGGCTGCTCCTCACCGGCGGCTGGCTGGGCGTCCTTGCTGCCAGTGGGGTAACAGAAACTGATTCAGCCCCCCGGAGCCCCTCGGCCCCTCACCAGGCGGGCGCTGGCTGCCCCAGCCCTCACCGGCCCTCAGCGCCCTCCTCCTCGGAGTCTCGCCCGTCCTCCTCATCGCTGAACTTGAGCTTCTCAGTGTAGTCCACCTCCTCGTGGGCCCCTGAGCGGGAGACAGGAGCTGCAGCCACACTTCCCACGCCTGGCCTCAGATGCCACTGTCCGCAGTCCTGCTTCTACCAGTGCCGCCCCCAGCCCCACACGGGTCAGGGGCCAGGTCCGCTGTGCCTGTCACCTGGGCTTGGTCCTGTCCTGCAAGGCTTGGTTTCCTCCCATGTCTCCCACGTCTTCCTACTTTCATTCCTCAACTCTGACTTTCAAGACACAACCGCCTGAGCCCTAGCACCCACCCACCTGCCCAGCCGTCATCGTTCTCCTGGTCCAGCTGGTCAAACTCTTTGAGATTATCCTCTTTCAGAATGGAAGGCCGACCCACAGGCTCCACAAGGCGCACTGGTGGCCCTGCACCCCGAGGACCTGCCACACGGGGGAAACGGCTATGTGTGGAGAAGGGACAAAGAGAAAGAAGACAGCAAGTTGTTCCACCACATCCATAACTCAGCCTCCTCGATGGAAGACCGCTTCCTCCCCCAACAGGCTTCTCCTGCCTCTGAGCACAGGCCCAGAACTGGATGGCTTACCTGGGCCCATCTGGAGTGGGGTATCTGTAAGGCCCCTGGGGTCCGTAGGGTGGAGGGAACGGGAGATACGGGGGATACATCTGCAAAAGGGCCCGACAGAAGCTGTTCACCAAGGTGGCCGTACAGCCCACCAGCGCTCACCCGTTATGGCAATGTCGCCCTCCCACCCTCTGCCTGCTTCACAGCTGCCTACTTCCTAAAGGTGCCCCCAGACACTAAGTCTGCTGCCCACGCCAGCTTCCGGCAACCCCGACTCACGAAGGGCGGCATCATCCCGCGATAAGGAGGGAACTGGGGCGGGCCCGAGGGCTGCAGCGCCCCCCGGGGATCGTGACCATGATGAAGTTTGGAGTCCTGGCCCTCCAGCTCATCAGGGCCACGCCCGCCTCCATCCCTCCAGGTTGTAGAGTCTGTTTGGAACAGGGAGAGAGGAGAAGAGAGAGTAAGGACTCGGGCACAGTAACAGGCAGGGGCTCTGAGGAGGGACCGCAGTGTCCAAGCAGCTGGCCGCTCACTTTGGGGGCGGAGGCTTGGTCCGGGCCCAGACAACTGCTCGGCAGACTCCCTTTCCTTGGCAGCCTTGTCCTGGTCGCCAGCCGCCTGCAGGGTCGGAAATTCCTCGCGAGAGAATCGCGACAGTAGGTTTGATGCCCTTCCACCTGTTGAGAGGAGGACACCCATCAGACCACAGCCAGACTGAAGGCCCTGCCCCGACTTGCAGCCCGCGGTGGGCCCAAGTGGGAAAAGGGTGGTGCAGGGACACTGCCCACGCAGCCCCAGGGCTTCAGGAGGCCCCGCCAGTGCTTGCTCACCATCTCCGTGTGCTCCATGCGTGCCGCTGGCCTGTGCCCAGGACTTTACCCCGCTTGGAACCGAAGGTGCGTTCTGGGGAAGCGGAGAGAAAACAAATGGTGCCACGGGCAGGAGAGGCCCAAAGGGAAGCGGAGAGAAAACAAATGGTGCCACGGGCAGGAGAGGCCCAAGCTGCTCTGCCCCAGCCCCTCCAGCTCGCCCAGTACCTCGGGAGCTGTCGGGGGGCGTTTCGGTTGGCTGGAGGCAGGCGTCTGTGAAGCCGGCAGTGGCTGCGATTCCGGCGGCTGAGCAGCTGAGGCATCGGAACTGAGGAAGCAGCAGTAGGGAACATTACACCCCAGAGCACCTTTGCCCCCCGCCCTGGGGCTCCAGCTGGCAGCGCAAATGGCCGACCCTAGGCCCACAGCGCTACTAATGTAAGACAAAACTTCAACTGCGTTTCTTTGCACTCTCCCTCCATTTCAAGGCAAGTTAAAGGTACCATTTATTGGTCATCTAACAGGAAGTCTGCAGGAAGTACAAAGCACGCCCCTCCTTTATCTCTACCTTGATACTGAGGCTCAGGGCCTGGCCCAGACCAAGCCTTCATTTACCCTGCAGTGCACAGTAAAAGTTCGGATGGCTGGGGCTCCCCAGCCTTGGTCTACCTCTTGGGGTCGGACTGCTCCTGTTTGCTTGCCCATCCTGTTCCGTCTTTTGGGACTAGTGAGACGTTGGGGTCATTGCCTTTGTTCTCGGCTTTCAGGCTTGGAAGGTTGGCTGGGGGTGGCATACGCCGAGCAATGGCAACTTTCCCGAGACTCTGCAGGCCATGGCGAGGGGCAACTGCAGAGAGGTGGAAGAGGGTCAAAAGGTGCTTCTCACCCCTGCCCCAACTACCCATCCGCCATGTCCTATTACCCATGACTCCAAATTTTTAGGAGCCATCCTTCCCTTCAGGAACAGTTCTAGAAGCCCCTACTGCAAAGGCTGAGATAGACATGCACACGTGTTATGTTCACTGCTTTTATGTGCGATGGTTGATCTTGAGCCTGCGGGGAGCAAGCTGGCCCCAGATGTCTCCAAATCCACAACTTTTCTGCCTCCAACTCTTATGTGTGTAAAGACAAAGAATCAAAGACACATCTTTGTAGGAGGGTCAGTGATGTTGCCCCAGACCCCAACAGCTGCTGGGGATCCTACAAGTAAACATGAGGGGTCTCTAGGTGCCTCTCTGGTCTTTTGGTACTTCCATTATAGCTGTGTCCCTCTCCAAAGAACTCTGAAGGGTACATCCCAGCTATGCCTACACCAACTATTGGAAGCATCTTTGCAGGGGCCTCACCAGTGGGTTTCTGGATCTCTAAGGACTTGCCCTTATACGTATCAAACAGGTTGAGTGAAGAATACTTCTTTCCATCCTTCCCCTTGGCAGTCGGCCCCGAGCGATCGGACATTGCGCTGGAAGCTCATTGAGTATGTTGGGTCCTGCAGGCACCTCCCCCGAAACGAGCCGGAGCCTGTGGGGCAGACAACGGGCATCTCGGGCATTGCACGCCAGGACAGGAGCCTACACGCTCCCTTTCATTCTCCTAGGGCCTGCATGTGTGGCCCTTAGGTGTCCTTCCCCCAGCCTGTGTAAGCAATTGTGATCCTATCAGCACCCATGTGCCATCTTCCCTTTCTCTCATCACCTCTCATAAAGAAAAATCAAGTAAAAACCTGCTTTCCTCCCAGTGTAAATGCTCTGGCATCTGTGCCAGTGTAGAAAGGGTAACAGCTTCTTCGTTGTTCCTGAAAGTAACAATCTTCCCTCCACAAAAATAATGAGAGACCTACAATAAAACTGGACAAGCAAGTAGAAGCCCCAGAGAAAACCAGAGAGGCACACAACTCCATCACACAAGACCAACTGATTACACCAGCTCCTTAATCACGCCCCTGGGCCCTGCGCCATGGGCCCAGGTTCCCTTCCCAGCAGCCTGAAGTCCCATCTGGGGAGTTTTGCAGGAAGGTATGCTGGGAGTTTAGGGATTTTATGAGCTTTCTCTGCCACACTGGGAGCTGGTGTCACAGAAAGCCTCCAGAAACAACAAGAGCTACAGAACTCCGAGTCTTTGGAGTACTCCATCTTTTCCTAAATTTGCCTCCATCTTGGCTCCTAAGAATAATCCTGTCTCCAAACAGTGGGCTCCGGTTTACCTACACAGAACTATGAAAACAAAGCATTAAGGAGTACCTGGAGACAGCCTGTAACCACGGGCCAGCTACCAACTTCCATTTTTCGGTCATTAGACACGTCCACCCGCAATCACTCTTCTGCCTAACAGGCCCTGCTCCCCAAGCAGGCCGAACTCCATCCTCAGTCCACGCCACAATGACCAGGCATTCATTTGTGGGTGGAAACAGTGTGGGAAAAAAAGGGACGGGACATGGGGAGAAGCAAGCAGCAGACGGGTCCAGGATGAAAGCCAAAACCAGGGAGACGGAACTTTATGACAGACGCGCGATGAGGGGATGGGGCTTGCTTTGTAGATGCTCAAGGAGACCAATCTATGAAAACAAATACACCAAGGAAAAGAGAAAAGCACCGTGGAATAAATCCACTAAAATGAGACCACAAAAGCAGACAGGAAACAAACGTGTGGAAACAAGAATGGTTGGAAAACGATGCGAGACGAAAGGAAGGAAGGAGGCAACGTCGAGACCCAGGAAGAAAAGAGGGGCTGGGGGAGAAAGGCACAGGGCGCACAGGAACGATGAAAGGCGGCGAAGCTCCGGAAGAACGTGGAGGCGAAGATGCGGGATAAAGCAAGGTTCGCGGCAGTGACCGGCGCGGAGGGGCCGGGAGGGAGGCCGCGGCGCGGGTCCGGCGGATGCAGAGGCGCCTGGAGGGAGGGCCGGCGGGCGCGGCCGCCCCGGGGCGCAGGGAAGGGGCCGGCAGGCGGCACCTGGGCCGGGGCGCCGCCGGGGCTGGGGCGTCACAGAGCGAGAAGCGCGGTCGCTCCCGGAGGCCCGGGAAGCGGGAGGTCCCGACAAGTGCGGGGCCCGAGCGAGGGGCTGGAAGTGCGGGGCCCGGAGCAGGGGTACCGGAGGGGGAGGGGCGGGCAGGCCGGCAGCAGGAGGACAAAATGGCGGCGGCTAATGGCAGCTTCTCCTCCCCCCGGCCCGCCGCCGCCGCCGCCGCCGCCGCCGCCGCCGCCACCGTCGTCACTGCCGTCACCGCCGCCACCGCCGCTCCAACGCCGGAAAAGGGCGTCAGCACTCAGTTCGCCCAGACTCACCTGGCCGGGTGCGCGGGGGTCCGGGACCGGGGCTTAGTGGCTCCCCGGGGCGGGATGGCGGTGGGGCGGGGGCGGATGGCGGCGGATGGCGCCGGGTTCGGCTCCTCCCGTCTCCCTCGCTCACTCCGCGGCTAGGCTCCGACTAACGGCCCATCCGGGCAACTGCCGCCCCCGGGAGTGCCCCCCCACTCCCGCCTCCCTCTGCGGCTGGACACGCCCCCTGGTTTACATAAAGGGCGGGGCCCTCTCTAGCCTACCCTTTACCTCCAGGGCTGTCCTTATTTAAAAAAAAAGTGTGCGGAGCTTTCAGAGGTTATTTGCATAAAGAGGAAGGAGTTACAGATGATAAGACGCTGATTGGTTGAGAGGCAGAGCCCCTGGCGTCGGCCGTTGAAACGTGTAATGAGGGAGGGAATGCGACGCCGGTTGGCCGAGCAGATGGGCGCACAATTTACACGAGAATGGTGGGAGAAAGAGGCGGGGCGTGCGTCGAGCGTCCGTGGGAAGAAGGTAGTGGAGAGACGTAGGAATGCCGAAAGTGGAAGAGAAAGACGCGAGGTTCGCGGTGCTTTCAGCAGGGACAGAGGGGACCGGGGCCACGGCTGGCCTCAGCAGGCGGAGGGTAGAGTTTATCTAGACTCAGGAAGATCCCTTGCTCACGCGTCCTTTCGCTAGAGGTGAAGGCACTGGAGAGGCGGGGTCTTTCATTTATTAAATCGCGTCATACAAATGAAGTGAATAGAGAGACCAATCCGAGGGTCTAGAGAAACACAGACGTTCTTTGGGTAGCTCTTATTTGCATAATATATGCAAATCATTTGAACAAAGATAGATAGGCTAGGAATGATCTCTTCATCAACATACCGGCAACCAGTGCCTAGACGGACATTTAATTTTATAACCTGTAATTTTTATGGGTAGGTTTTTACATTTGCGGTTATTGGTAATTTGTATTCTCTCACCAACGGATTTCGTGTTACAGAGGGCAGTAGTACTATTTTCTCCTCTTTGTCTCTTTGCTACTTGACTGTAAAACCTTCTGCTCTACATGAGTTATAAGAAAGATGGATAGAAAGGGACAAGTTCATAATTTTAAAATTGTACTTTTTTTTTTTTTGTCTTTTTCGTTTTTATCGGTACCAGGGATCGAACTCACGACTGCCTGCTTGCAAAGCAGGCGCTTATGCCGCTGAGCTAAATCCCCAGCCCCTAAAATTGTACTTTTAAGAAAAACTGCAGTTGTAGGATGCATAAGTTTGTCAAGCCTGTCACCCTCCCGGGAAAACACTCCACACAAAAATCTGTCTTGTGTATCTGTATCTAGGTACAGGTATTAACGACATAATAAATACAGGGTATGGTGACACACCACACCTGTATTCCTAGCATTTGAGAGGCTGAGGGAGGAGGTCCAATGAGTGGGTTCAAGGCCAGTCTGAACTACATAATGAGACCGTGTCCCCCCAAAAATCTAAACAATTAATTGAAAGAAAGAAAGGTGGGCAAAACAAACAGATACAATGGTGAAACCTGTAACTCCTGCACTCTGGTAGGTTAAGGCAGGAGGATTGCAAGTTTGAGTCCAACCTGAGCAATTTAGTGAGTTAGCAAGAAGTGCCTCAAATATGAAAATGGGGAGGAGAGTGGCAAACGCCTGTAATCCCAGCACGCAGAAGGCTGAGGCAGAAGTGCAGAGTTTGAGGCCAGCTTGAATTACATAGCAAGACCAGACACACACACACACACACACACACACACACACACACACACAAAACCATGGGGAGAGAGAGCCATGAAATGGAGCTCAGTGTGAAAACCTTGGTCTCAATCCCCAGCACCGCTTGTAACACTTGTAAACTGGGCTCTGGGCAAGTGCTTTGCACCTGTAAATATCTCTTCCTGCCACAGACCAGCCTCAAAAGAGGCTGCAGAGGAGTGGGCAGCAGGTTTCAGCTTCCCACCTGTCTAAACGATTTGCACTCCAGTGGCCCCCAAATGAGTGACCTGACCAACAGCAGGCGTGCATACCCCAAGTCCCAGTTTGCAGACTGGGCTGTGCACCTCTGGCCCGAATGCATTTCACTCCCAACCCCCTTTGAACCATCTTTCCGATAAATAAATCTTTTCTGTGCCCTCTGCCTGTGCAACCTAAAAAACATTTTTTCTGTGACAAGATTTTATCAAACGTTCTGTGGGTGCAGTGAATCAGTTTCTATCCCCTCCTTTGGAAACCTCCTCAGAGCCCATCTGGTAATATGAGATCCACTACCTGTTGACACCATTCAACAACTATTTTACTCATTTGTTATCTTTTGGTTTATTTATTTATGGGGGGAGGCAAGGTCTTGCTCTGTACTTTAGGTTGACCTTGGCCTTACCATGTACCCCATGCTGGCTTCAAACTCACAGGAATCTTTCTGCCTCAGCTTCCTGAGTGCTGGGATTACAGGCATGTGCCACCACACCAAGCTTTTTTTTTTTTTTTGGTCTTTTTCCTTTTTATTGGTACCGGGGATCGAACTCATGACTGCTGCTTGCAAGGCAGGCGCTTATGCTGCTGAGCTAAATCCCCAGCCCCACCAAGCTTTTTTTTAATTCTTGAATTACCAGGCCTTCTAGTGGATTCCAGTTCTTTGATCCAGTCAGTCGAACTTTTTTTTTAGATAAAAGCTTCAGGGAAGGGCTAGGGGTGTAACTTAGTAGTAGAGTACTTGCCTAACATACACAGGATTCTAAGTTGGATCTCTAGCACCAAGAAAAACAAAGGAAGAAAGAAAAAAGATTCAGAATGAGTGATTTGTTAAAACCACAAATCTCTTTGTGGTAAAGACTGTTGGTTCAAAGTAATCTTTACTCCTTAACAAGCTACTGGGAGGCCAGGCCTGAGGGAGGTTGAGACAGGAGGAGTTGTGTTTCAGGAAGCCTGGGCTACAAAGTGACTTCAAGGGCCAGGGGTTTAGCTCAGCTACACAAGCATCTACCTGGTAAGCATGTCATGAGTTCTATCCCCAGTACCAAAGTGAGCTCAAGACCAGCTGAACTGCATAGTAAAACTATCTCAAAAAAAAAAAAAAAAAAAAAAAAAAAAAAAAAAAAAGCTCTGGGTAATATGCTAATAAAAGAAAAATTTCTTACCTAGCTGGGTTTGGTGGTGTCCACCTATAATCCTCTAATTCTGTGATATAAGAATTTAGCAGGGGATGGGGCTGGAGGTTTAGCTCAGCGGCATAAGTGCCTGCCTTGCAAGCAGGCAGTCGTGAGTTCGATCCCTGGTACCAATAAAAAGGAAAAAAAAAAAGAATTTAGCAAGACCCTATCTTAAAATAGAAAATAAAGGACTGGGGATTTAGCTCAGAGGCATAAGGGTCTGCCTTGTAAGCGTGCAGTCATTAGTTTGATACAAAAAAAAAAAAAAAAAAAAAACTAAAAAGGGCTAGGAATGAAGCTTGGTACACACACCGTAGGTTCGATCCCTAGTATCACCAAAAACAAACTCAAAGATTCTACGCTGATTTCTTGAGGTCAGTGTTGTGTTATAGTTGTAGAATCCACCTTAGCGTATGAAACTGTCTGCAGTAGACACAGGGAATTGTGGATCCATGATTTATTATCGCAGATCTTTTTGGCTTTACCTTGTCCCCAACCCAGAAGAAAAATATCCTTCAAATAAAACCACATTGACATGACTTGGAAGGGAAAGATAATTTATTTAATTTAGTTTGACTCTGGCTCATGATTTTGTCTTTTTCTATGTTGGGGGTCATGAAAATCCCTTTGACCCACCATGCACACATCATGTCTGCCCCCTCACACATGCACGTGCCCACACACGCCACGCTGCCATTAGGGCAACTCAGAGATAGCTTTCTTGGCTGGGGGACCCGTTGGCTTCTCCTGTTCTCTTGCTTTCTCCTCATACATCAGGATCCTAGAAGAGACACAGCCCCAGGGGACCCGTCTTAGGCTGCAGAGTCCCAAGAGGGAAGCACGGGGGGGGGGGGGGGGGTGTTAGCTGTGAGGGAAGCAAGTCACGGGTGGGAATGAGGAGGAGGCCAGCATTTGGGGAGAGTCCTGTGACGGAAGCAGGTGCAGGTTCTGAGCAGTGCACAGAGGCTGAGCCTGTCCCCAGAACCCCGGGTCCCCAGATGAATGTTGGGGAGTTGGGGGCTGAGCTCACATTTTTAGGATGGCAGATCTCTTGCCCAGCATCATTCTGAGAAAGTCAGGGTAGCTGAATGTCTCCCCAGAGCCACCGGACACCTCTCCAATTAATTTTTTTAGCTCTAGGTGGGTCTTGGGGACCCCAAGCTTCTCCAGCATTCTCTTCAGGGACATGATATCTGCAGTCAGGAGACAGTGGGGAGAAAGGGAGAGCCTGTCTATCCTGACTCACCCCCACATTCTGGAGCAGCAGGGAGACCAGGCCCACATACTCCCCATCACCCCTTCATCCTCACCGATGTCTCCGTTTCCATTCAGGTCGAACTCCATGTATTTCTCTGAGCCAGGGGAGAGCAGCAGAGTTAGGGTGGGCCGTCCCTGAGGACGGGGACAGAGGAAGAGGTGGCCAAGCGGGGCGAAGTTGTAGGAAGACAAGAAGGGGCCACAGAGGAAGTGGGGCTGGGGTTTGGGGCCCCCACTGAAGTGGAGGGAAGTGGGAGTGGGGGTTGCTGGGGGGCAGCCAGGGACAGGAGGGGGAGGCAAAGGCAGCTCCTGGCTCCCCTCCGCGCACAGAAACCCATCTGCATCTCCAGGTCCATGTCCCCACCCGAGCCCCCCTCCACCCTGGACTCCCCCTCACTCTTGTAGGCTTCCAGTTTGGAGGGCAGATCCTCGTCGGTGCTATATTTGGGATCATCCAGGAATTGCTGTTGGGAAAGGTACGAGCCAGGGTGGCCCTGCTGCCCAGCTGGACACCCCGCGCCCAGGCTGTGCACCTGCACCCCTCCTGTTACCTTGTTGATCTCCTCCAGCCTCTCTTCCTGCTGGGCCTTCAGCAGTCCAAAGGCTTTCCCTCCTGAGGCAGAGTCCGGTCAGCCCTCACCTCACCTCGGCCCCACGCCCAGCCCTGGGCTCCCGCCTGCCCTCTGGACCCTCAGCTGCCCCACTGGCTCCCCAGGCCCTCATCTCCTTCATTTCCCTACCCTGGAAATCCCTGGTTTGGCTCATAGCTCAGGACACGCTGGTGAGCATAGGAAGAGACCAGGTCTCAGGTGTTGCAGCTGTGCTGCTTCCCCCAGCCAGCCCGGCTCCTCCGAGACCTCCCTCCAAACTTCCCCTTCCCTGCATTCCCGCCCTCTGCCTCAGGCCTCACTTCCTCTCAGCTTATGCTGACACCAGCACCCCAGGAGGGAGGGCGGGGCATGAGATCTGGAGGAGGTGAGGTCTCACTGTTTCCCAGGCTGGCCTCGGATGCCCAGGCTCCAGGGATCCTCCTGCCTCAGCCTCCGGAGTAGATGGTACTGTAGGCATGTGTCACTGCACCTGGCTCCTTGCAATTCCTCTTAATGAGTCTCACGTGTACATGGGAAATGACAGGCCGCGAGAGTCTGTGCCTTTATTTGAATGGATCAGGAAGCAGCCTGTGAACATCTCCTGAGGCTCTGGTGACAACGAAGCCTTTCGCACCACCAGGTTTCATGAGTGTGGTTACCAGGATCAGGAGGCAGCTGCCAGGGCTGGCTGAACTTCCCGCTTCCTGTAGATGGGAGAAGATTGCACTGGGTGGCAGCTCCAGGTTCAGGGCCTGCAGAGGGAGGGAAGCCCCATTGCCTGGTGCCTGAGGGTCAGGTTATGCAGATGTCCAAAGCAGGACTGTAATTTGTTTCCTTTAGGAAGGACAAGGTCACCCTCTCATCTTATCTCCTCTGAAATCTTTAGTAAAATCAGCAGAGCTCAGGAATTTGAGGGTTTAAGGAAGTTCTTTTTTTTTTTTTTTTTTTTTTTTTTTGAGACAAGGTCTCCATGTGTACTACAGGCTGGGTTTGAACTCACTATGTAACCTAGGCCTGGAACTCTTCCAACCCTCCTGCCTCAGCCTCCTGAGTACTGGGATTACAGGTGTGCACCACCACGCCCAGCTAAAGAATTGAAGGAGATTCTTTGAAAGAATTGGCAGCGATGAGACAGCAGTGAGGCAGACTCTGTGTGTGTGCGTGTGTGTGTGTGTGTGTGTGTGTGTGTGTGTGTGTGTGGTGCAAGTGTGCCCTCTGTGCACTGGTCCGCAAGGGTTCAGCCTGACCAGTGCCTTGTCCAGGCACTGCCTTAACCCCGTGGCCACCCTGGCTCTGTGCCATTCTCCTTCTGGGCTCCTGCCTGCGACACCCCAACCCACGCAGACCCTTTCTCTGTCTGCAGCTCAGAGCTTTCACTTCTGCTCCCCTCTGCCTGACCCAGATGGTGGGGGACACTGGGGTGGACTCTTAACTTCCCAACTTCCTTTTACAGCAGATGCCCTGCCCTGCACGGTGCAACAACCTGGCTCCCAGCTCAAGGCCTGGGGGAGCCACTTCTCTGTGCTCCTGTTTGGGCAGCAAATTCTCATCTTCTCTCGCTCGCCCTTTCCCTCTCCTTCTCCCTCTCCCTCTCCCTCTCTCCGTATTAGAGGTTGAACCCAGGGTTTTCACACTGAGCTGCAGCCACAGAAACCTCACTGTTCATTGATTACCAGGGTCTCACTAAATCGCTACATTGCCCAAGCTGCATTCAAACTTGGGATCCTCCTGCCTCAGCCTCTCAGAGTGCTTGGATTACAGGCATGCATCACTATGTCTGGCCAACAGACACAAACATTTCTTGAATACTTACTGTATGCCAGGAATGCTGCTAGGCCTGATGAAACAAACAAGTAAATACCCTTGTCTTCATGATAAGGCTAATTGGGGAAGAGAGACAATAAAAACAAAGACATACAAGACAGGTAAAGGTGATAGACTGGTGTGGAGGACAGTGAGGGGGGAGATGGTGCTGCTGTGGGCTGCAGTTTCCCAGTGTTCACATGAAGTCAGTGGATAAACAGCAACAAATATGATTACAATGTTTCAAGTTTACATGTACATTTTGTTTGTTTGTTTTTACTTTTAAAAGATATGCAGGGCTAGAGATTTAGCTCAGTAGCACAAGTGCCCGCCTGGCAAGCATGAGGTTATGAGTTCAATCCCCAGCACCAAAAACAAAACTCAATAAAAATAACCATCAAAACCAAATTGACATAAATGCAACTGGAACAGTTTCATTCTGGATTAAATTCACCTTGGGAGTTATAAGGAAGCTGCCCCATCGTGCAGCATCTTAGTTTTGGTTAATCTTGACCTCTGATCCAAGGAAATCAAGCTTGGGGGATGACATTTATGTAAACAGTGAGGCCTGTGCTGTACACTTTGATTTCTAATTTCTATGGTCAGTAATACAAAAAGTTTTGGTCGGGGGAGGCCGCTGTGGACCCCCTTTCGCCCTGCAACCTAAGTGGCCTCCAGTGCAGTGTCTCGCTTGCTTCCAAAAGACGGGACCTCAGGTGGATTTAAAGATCTGTTCACAGCTAGCACAACTTCAAGTCAAGCCTAGCATTAAATACACTCCATAAAATGTGTACTAAGGCAAAGGAACAAGCAATTTTAGATAAAACATATTCAGAAACAACAGGAAAGAAGGTTTTATATCACTAAAGAAAGTAATATTGGAAATACACATGCATGAATGCAAGATGACCCTGATAGCCCAGACGTCATTTTCGGTTTACAGAAACTAAAAACCTGCCGGGGATTTAGGCCAGCAGCATAAGTGCGCTAGGTCGTGAGTTTGATCCCCAGTACCAAAAAAAAAAAAAGGAAGAAACTAAAAACCTTACTATTATACAAGATCATCGGAAGAAGATACACAGGCTGATTAATTTTCTTTTGATTTTTCACCAGAGGAAAACTATAATAGGACTTGACCAACAGATAAAGAAGGCCTCAAAAATCATTGAGCTCAGCCAGGTATGGTGGCACAGACCTGTAATCCCAGCACTCGAAAGGATTGTTACAAGTTTGAGACCAGAATGGGCTACAAAGTGAACTCAAGTCCAGCCTGAACTGCATAGCAAGACGGTCTCAAAAATAAATAAATAAAAAAGAAAAGTTACTAAGCTCTCAGAATGGAGAAGAATATGAGAGTTTCTATTCATACAATAGGAATGTTTGCATGGAATTGCTTAAAATTAGAAAATTTCAGGAATGATCAAAGGCAGCAATTGAAAATAATTTGGAGCCCATAAGATAGAATCTAGAAAGCCATTACACTAGAAAGAGATTTGAGATAGAGGACAGGAGAATCAGGCTCCAGCAGTCATTGTAAGTTCTATTTTCCTAATTAGAAGATTTCATTTATTTATTTATTTTTGGTAGTGTAAATTGAACTTGGGACCTTATGCTTGCCAGGTAGGCACTTGCCAGGCAAGTACTTGTGCCACTGAGCTATCTCAGGCCTGCCATATATATGTATGTATATATGTATATATTTTTTTTCTTTTGACTTTTTGAGACAGGTTCTTGCTGTGTATTTCAGGCTGGCCTTGGGCTCACTTTGTAGCCCAGGCTGGTCTCGAACTTGAAAATGATCCTCCTGCCTCAGCCTCCTGAGTGCTGGGATTACAGGAGTGCAGCACCACATCCGGCTTTTTCTGATATATTTACTTATTAAAAATCTATAAAACTTCAAAGGAAAACCAAGTATGGTGGTGCACACCTGTAATCCCAGCACTCTGGGGGCTGAGGCAGGAGGATCTCTGAACGTTTGAGGCTAGCCTGGGATTCATAGTGAGTTCAAAGTCAGCCTGAAATACACAGCAAGAACCTGTCTCAAAAAACAACAACAAAACTAAAAAGAGAAGTATTTTCCTAAAACAAAGCAAAAAAAAAAGGGAAAAATAGGTTAGTTTGTTGCAAGTCATAAGAAAACTACAAGGCTGCTGTAACCTTGGCTTGCTTCTGTTTCCCTGCTGTGAGCCACATGGGTGTGGCTTTCCTGTGCCCCGCCAGGGGTGAAATTCTCCAAAGAACGGGACTTTTGTGTTGGCCGATTTTCAAGGACCGACTTTGGCTGGGGGGTGGGGGGGTTTCAATGAAAGGTGAAAATGAAAAGCATCCACAAGAACAAAGGGTTTGGGCCGGGAGACAGCTCAGCAGGGCAGTGCCAGCCTGGGAGGCAAACATGAGGTCCTGAGTTTGATTCCCAGTACCACACACACCACAAGAAAAAGCCCCCAAAAACAAACGTCCTGGAAAACTACGTTTCTGGACTTCTGGTGAACAACACGTTTCCCAGGTGAGGAAACCGATTCTCATTTTCTTATGTTGTGGGGGGCACCAAGTGGGGTGCAGCCCAGTGAGTGCAGCTCATTTACTGAGAGACATCTGTGACCGCAGCCGGATTCCTGCAGGACACCCATGGGGATGGTGGAGGCCCAGGTCCCGGCTCCTAATCCGAATGTGCTTCCGGTGGCCTCTGAGGTCGGCTTGCCCGCTCTCACCTCTCAGATGTGCGTTTCTCCAGCGATTCTCTGGTCTGGAACCTGAGATTGCGCCTTGGCCAGCTCCTCCTACCCACTGAGAACAATGCAGCTACCCGTGCTCTCCAGCCTCTCTCAGTCTTTGGCCCCCTGGGTCACTGTGAGTTGTCAGGACTCACTCAGGCATCCGCTCAGGTATCCTCCAGCCCCGGGCTAAGTCTGGTCTCCTTCCGCTGTCCACCCCAAGACTGCTGACCATCATTGCGGGCCTCAGCTGAGTGGCCACCACTGCTTCCAGAGGCTGCAGAACTCACAGTGATCCTCCTGCCTCAGCCTCCAGAGTGCTGAGATTACAGGCGTGAGCCACCATGCCCAGCTGAATTTGTTCTTGTAATTCTATTATGTCTTTGTCATTATTGTTAATCGTTTTATTTTGGTAACAAAACATCTTCATAGGGGTTTATGAAGCTGGACCAACTAGACTGGTGAGCCGAGGTCTCCATTCTGAGCACAGCATCTAACAGTGAGTGTTCACAGCGGGGAGATACCGAGTATTTCAAGACCTCTTGGTGTATGGCAGCTGTCAGAGGGTGACTTCCTGGTTGCAAGTGTTAGGGTTGACATTCTGATTGGATCCCATGGTAGGTAACCCCGCAGAGCCCTTCACCTACTTTATATAAATCACATTTATATAAAGAACCAGTCAGCAATAAAGAGAAGCAAATCACTGATACCTGTAAAAACGTACCTGTAAAAACAGGCATGGTAGGTAACCCAGTAGGCTCTTTCACCTGCTT